CTGGACAGCCAGCTGGCGCGCAAGTGCCCGACGTGCGGCAAGGCGTACGTGTCCATGCCCGCGCTCGCCATGCACGTGCTCACGCACAACCTGCGCCACAAGTGCGGCGTGTGCGGCAAGGCCTTCTCGCGGCCCTGGCTGCTGCAGGGCCACATGCGCTCGCACACCGGCGAGAAGCCCTTCGGCTGCGCGCACTGCGGCAAGGCTTTCGCCGACCGCTCCAACCTGCGCGCGCACATGCAGACGCACTCGGCCTTCAAGCACTACCGCTGCCGCCAGTGCGACAAGAGCTTCGCGCTCAAGTCCTACCTCCACAAGCACTGCGAGGCCGCCTGCGTCAAGGGCGCCGAGCCGCCCCCGCCGCCCCACGCTGGCCCGACCAGCTGAGCCCCCGCCGTCCCGCCTGCGCCTGCAGCGCCCTCTCCAGCCCCCAGCTGCGTTTCCCTGCCCGCGGGGACGCCCCCTCCTAGCCCCCCAACTTTACTCTGCAGCCCCTTGACCCATAACTTCCGGCACTGTCTTCCCGCCCTCCTGCACATTCCACCTAGGTCGTCCTTCCCAGCTACCGCTCGGACCTTTACCCCCAGTCCACGCCTTCAAGGCTCCCAACTCAGGCACCAGGTCCGCACCTTTCCCTCCAGGGGCCCCGCCCAGATCCTGCCCGGCCCTCCTAACCTTCAGACCATCCTTCTCACTTCTCAGTGGAGCCTCTGACCATTCTTCTATTAGGGCCCTGCCTGAGATCCAAACTTAACCCTCAAAGCCCATGTCTGCCTCAGTTTCCCTGTCCACTTGGATGCAGGCCCTGAGAACTGCCAGGCGCAGGCCTTCCCTCAGGCTGCTCTGCTGAGGCTCAGTTCTTAGCAGGCCCCAGTCTGTACACAGGCCCTCCATGCCCGGACCCTCGGTCCAGCTTCACCAGCCCATCCCAGGTCTCACCCGCTTCTGCTTTGAGGGCCTCATCACCCATTCCCACTCCCTGCTCTCTCCAGGTCCCCTCAGCGCTCTAGCACCCTCTGAGTTTACCTGACCTAGAGCAGACCTGAGGGGCAGTTCAGGGCCCTGACCCCCATTGTCACCCCCTCAGCCCAGGACAGCCCTTCCCTGGGCTCTCAGCCTGCCGCCGCCGCCTCCCCAGGTTCTCTGAGCACTTTCCCGTTCCCAGGACTACAGGTACTCCTCCTTATTTGCTGAGGGGAGGCCTGGAGCAACTCAGCAAGGCCTGTTCCCTTATCCAGCTAGGCCCCTTCCATTATTTATTTGTGTATTTATTTATTTATCTGTTTATTTTTCTGTTTAATCTCTTGGCCTCACCCAGGGACAGTCTGGCTTCCCCAGCTGGACTGGGAGGTCAGGGAGCCAGGCAAGGAGAGGGGCAGCAATGGCCATAGTGAGCTGCCCCTCTCCACTTTTTCGGTCTCGGGAGAAGCCCCACCCTCGTCAGCGCTCGGTGCAGAAGGGGCCCTGAGAACGGACAGGGAGGGGCCACCAGGAGGTCCTGTAGTGGGGCAGGTCCCCACCCTCCTGAGCCCTCTGCTCCTGCTCCAGGGAGTTTGGAGATAGGAGCCTCCTCCTTTCTTATTTCTTCCCCTTCCTGAGGGACCCCGGGTTCCGGGACCGACTGAGCCCCGGACCCCGCTGGGGCCTCTGACCCGCTCCCTGGGAGCATCGCTCTCTCCTGGCCACGTCTATGCAACTGTCCGGGCAGAGGGGCCGGGCTGCAAGCCACCCGCCCGTTGGCCGCCACTACCTCCTCCGCCGCGCTTCTGCACACCCGGGCGAGGACCGAAGCACACACCTCCACGTGCACGCCCGGCCCCTCTGCTTTAAGCACACACCTCTGCCCCCAGCACTGGGCGCCCAGTCCTCGGGCGGCGGAGTCCTGGTCTCTCTGACCCTCTTCCCCTCCCCTAGCCACCGGAGAGGGTGGAGGTGGGGGAATCCCTGCAGCAGGGGTCCTTCTGAGGGTTTCAGAGGAGTGAGTAGAGCTTGCTTGGTCCAGCGCTGGGCCCACCGCAAAGGGAGGCTGCAGGGGTGGTGGGAGAGAGGGGTCGTGGAAGCAATTATGGAGGGTGTCGACCCTGTAAATAGGAACTTCTGACAGCAATAATTTTCCATGCATGCTAAGCCTTTTGGCCATATTTTGTACGAGCGCTTGGCGCTCCCCCTGTCTCCTCTTCCCCCAGCTCACCCCCGTCCCCATCCCTTCCTCACCTTCAGCAGTATTATTGTATCGCAATTCAGGGATATTAAAGGGACTTTGGCCACTCAGCAGCGCCTCTAGTCCTGGTGAATGGGGATGGGGTGTGAAGAAGGGGAGGGCTCTGAGGAACATCTAGATGCTTCCACTCCATTTCCCTCTGTCACATGAGAAGCCTGCAGTGGCCACTAGGGTCCCTAAGCATCCCCCACCGTACCAGGGGTCCTAAATCCTGGGTATTCCTCAAGTAAGTGTTCAAGAGCCAGATTAATAACATAAGTAAATGAAGTCAAGTACTTTAAAGCATTAGGGAATAGTGGAGCCTGTGATTAACTGGGAGTATGTCTTGCCTTAAAGAGCTACAATTCAGCCTGTAATCCCAACTCTCAGGAGGCTGAGGCAGGAAGATCACTGTGAGTTTGAGGCCAGCCTAGCTACATAGTGAGTTCAAGGCCAGCCTGAACTACATAGCAAGATCCTGTCTCAAAAAAAAAAAAAAAACCTGCAATTCAAATTAAGCACACCTGCCAAACTCATGCAATAGTGAGCCACATTTATTCACCAACAGTCAATTCATCAGCCCTGTGTCCTGCTCACTCCATTCTCTCTGCTCTGCCCACCTTCCGGCCATCTCCAGCTGTTCATGCATGAAACAAACACAAGCTTGCCCAAGGCTGGCTTTGGCTCAGCAGGCTGCCTCTTGAGCTTGTGTGCTACCTGTCACTAGACATGTTCAGGAAGACATTTGACAACCAGTCCACCCTCCTGCTGGCTCCTTTTGTGGTCTTGCAAACTACAGATCCATCCTTGCAGTACTAAATCCTTCACTGGAGATCAAGAGCCCTGGCCACTAATCTCCAACCCCAACACAGACCCATTAAGAAGTGGGGCTTGCATGTTTTCAGGGGTAGATGCCAGACAGGGTAGGGGGTTCTGTAGGGTGCAACCCCTCCGCCCCTGGCACCTTCCTGTGGGCTTCCTCCCTTGGTAGGCAGTGCCCTCAGTTTTTAACCCTTCTCCCTGGTGCCTGTCTGCTTTTCCTTTCACACACCCCTGGGCAGGTGGCTGCATCCTGAGCAGTGTTCTAGGTGTTTCCAACAATGACTGCAGCTGTGAGCACCCCTGCTCCCAAGTCTCTAATGGGGTCCTGAGGGCACAGGCACCTGTCGCATTCTTTAACATTCCACACACAGCCCCTAGGGCTACACGCCGTCCTGACTTGCTCTGGCCCCCATTATACCCATTTCAGGTGCAGGGAACAGATGAGAGGTGGCTCAGTGTCAGAGCTCTGCTGTAGAGAAGCTGGCACCTCTGTCTTGACAGCAGGAGTCAAAAGCAGGAGGAAGATGGCCCCCACCACTTCTGCTATCCAGATCCCAAGGAGATGTGGCTGACTGGCGGAACTTAATTCACTGTGCGATTGCTATGAGGAAACCTGAGAAAAGGCATCTGTAACTCTCCAATCATGCAGTACAGAGGGCACCCTCCAGGAGTCAGGGTATATGCTGGTGCCATCAGCTACATCATCCCATGGCACCAGCACTAACCCTAACTCTAACCCTAACCCAGAAATAGGTGCCCAGTGTCCATACCGCCCTCCTTGATGAGCAGCCATGGAATCTGGGCACCTGCTGAAGGGGTGGTCTGGACTGGTGTAACAGCACCAACCCCCACCTCCAGTTCAGAGCCAACCCCAGTCAATGAGACTGAAGGAGGGGGTTCTTGAAGCTTATGGAAAGCCTTGCTGTTTCCTCCATCCTGGGAGAAGGTGGTCCAGGCTCTTTTCCCCTAAAACATGAACAGGGAATCATGCCATCCTGTGACCACAAAAGGAATCAACTTCAGCTGGGCATGGTGGCGCACGCATTTAATCCCAGCATTCAAGAGGCTGAGGCAGGAGGATCATTGCGAGTGTGAGACCAGCCTGGGCTACAAAGTGAGCTCAAAGCCAGCCTGAACTGCATAGCAAGACCCTGTCTCAAAAAGGCAAAAAATAAAATAAAATAAAAAATAAAGGAACCAGCTTTAGCAAGGAGCCCACACTGTGAATGGCAAAGTAAGGACACAGAAAAAGCCTGTGTCCTTGGTGACATCAGGAGCCAGTGAAAAAAAATCACCCTGAAATTTCATGGTTGGTGACACGAGTGTCTTTATTAAATCAGCTGAATCAGGTCCTGCTACCTACAGCCCAAAGCAGAGCAACTGCCCTTCACAAGGCCTTCAAAGGCCTTCAAGTCCTCTGTCCATCACTGTTTGGTCCTCCTCTTACCTGTCCTACTGCTGTACCCAGCAACTTCACCGGCTCACCTTCGATACCAGGGAAGGAACTCATGTCCCATTCGGCGTGCTGTCCTCCAGCAATCTCTTCCACCAACGGCTTCACTTTCCACCCACATAGATGACTCAGGGGTTTACATAACTCCTACCTCCCCTCTGAACTACACGCCCCTGTCTGTCCGAAGGCCTCCCCAACTCAGACACCTTAAAGCACCAGGGTTCAACCTGTGTCTGAACCTGTGACCAGATTCTCTTTCAGGATTTCCTCCCTCCATGTGTGGCACCAGTACCCACCCATTCCTACAGACACCAAGCTCCGAAGTCACTTCTCCCTGCCCTACCACCCAATCCATCACCATGTTTGGTCACTCACCCCCTCCTTCTTTTCAGGCTTCATGTTGTCAACAACCATCACCATCTTTCACCTGTACCGTGGGACCAGCTCTGCCCTAACCTCCTGGGACCAATCTCCTCCACCTCCTTTCCTCAGCCCATGGCAGACACAGGGGTCTTTTCAAGATTTGAGCATGTCTCAGTCCGTTTGGGTTGCTCTAACAAACTACGTTAGCCTGGGTGGCTAATAAACAACAGAAACTTATTTCTCACAGTTCTGGAGGCTAGAAGCACATTCAGTGTCTGGTAATTCCTGCTTCCTGGTTCACAGACAGCTGTCCTCTCTCTGTGTCCTCACATGGTGCAAGGAGCAAGGGAACCCTCCAGTTTCAGTACTGGGGATTGAACCTGAGGCCCTGCTGGGCAAGTGCTCTACCACTGAGCTACATCCCCAGACCCCAGGGATTCTTCCATTATGACATTAATTCCATTCAGGAGAGCTCTGCCCACATCACCTATTCCTTTCCCAAAGGGTCCACTCTTTTTTTTTTGTTTGTTTGTTTTTTTGTTTTTCTCT